CTGTGCGCTCGTCTGATAGTCAATTTCCTTCTACCTATTCTCCACTGTTTCCGTACAAAATAAATCCTTCCTTTTACTTGGCGTCGCACATTTTCCCTTGCAAGAAGGGAACAGGCGTGAAGATCGCACCCTGCTAAAGTAAGTCCTGCGATGGAATGATATCGTTGTCATTTAATAAGGACGACTGGGGTGGTTTAAACCCTTCCTCTGTAGTTCATCCTTTGAGTCTCCAGTTACTGCCCTGATTCGACGCCGCTGCCGGAAGGAGGATGTTGATAGAATATTACCTCCAATCTGTGCCCAACAAAGTCCGTAAAATATGCAGATGATAGTTGACCCTTGGGTATTCGGTCCGCAAGGCTGAGCATTGCAAAGCCCCAGGTTGGTAAAAGGTTGGACAGAATACGGAAAGTCTGCAAAAACAGCTGAATAAATTCTGGATATCATTGAGCTCCGCCTTAGCGCTATTCTTTTGTACTATATGAAACGCAGTCGTCTTCTGTGTCGTATGGACAGTGCTAACCTCATGAAATCTCAGAATGTGGGCTTGTTAATAAAGGCAAGTATGCGTGCCCAAGGTTCCTGTTGTAAAGAGGAAACATTTGCGATCACTGGGAAGACAATTGTACTATTCCGAATCTTTGACTTCACACAAGAGGTCATCTTCAGATAAACGAGAAAACAGGAAGCGTTAGCATTCCTTTGTAGTCTAGCCACGAGAAAATGCGAAGTGGGGGGAAGGGGTGACGTTCGTAATTTTGTCCTTCGTGCACGCGACCAACAAACACGGTCCAGACACTCACGCTGCCACGCCAAAGGCGCAAGGCGCTGTACCAAGGACGCACGCAGAGACGAGACGATAAGATGGCGTGAGCATTGACCAATCACGAATTCCCCCTCCCCAACTGCTTTTTCTCGTAGCAAGACTACAAACACATGCCAAAGCTTGCCGTTTTCTCATTTCCCTGCCGATGACGTCTTGTGTGAACCCAAAATCTCAGAATTAAACAATTTTCGTCCCAGTGATTTTCCTTTCTCTCTTTCTTTGTTGCACAACTCTCTTGTATTTCTGTACTTTTTTATCCAACGTATTTTGTGAGATTATTTTTTTTAAAACTGTAGTTGCATTGACGAAATCCGCCCCACAACCGCCCGAAAGGTAATCGGAACTCACAGCGGCAGCTTCCACTGCGATGAGGTGTTGGCAATCGCAATGCTTAAACAACTTCCAGAGTACAAATATGCACGCATTATTCGTACCCGGGATATTGAAAACTGGACACTTGCAATATCGTCGTTGATGTGGGCAATATTTTCGATGCGGCCTCTAATCGTTTCGACCATCATCAGCCGTAATTCCTTATACCCCTTTTCTTATTTATCTACACATCTGTTTTTTAGATCATTTAACCTTACTATAAAAAACTTCCATCCTAATCTGGAACCAGCCGTGAAACTGAGCAGTGCGGGTCTCATTTATGCACATTTTGGTAAGAGAGTAATTACCGAGATTTCTGGGAAGTTGAATTCTGATGAGGACTTGGAAGTGGTATTTAAGCAGGTATGCTACCGGCACTTCAGTTCTTTCGAAAACGTAGCTGTATAAGGATTTTATTAGTGAAGTGGACGCTATTGATAATGGTGTGCCAATTTCAGACGCTCCAATAAAGTAATATTCGTTTATTGTTTTTACTGGACTCAGTTACCGTATTGCAACTGGAATAACTGCTCGAGTGAGTGGTCTTAACGCGGCCTGGAATAAAGAAGAAAGTAGGATGGTAAGTTCAATTAGAAACTTTAAAAAAAAATATGCTCTCATTTTTTATCACGATCATTATATTCGATCTCCTCTGGTAACTTAAAGAATATAATAGCGTACACCTATGTGTTCTCACTTTCTATTTACAGCCGCCATAAAACAAGCTCTTTTATTTAGGCTGTTTAGGCCTAAATAACGTCTGCAAAACCTAGATTTGTGCGACCTCAGTTTCTTTGTGTCAATCCAAAAAGAAGAACAACGAACAAGGTCGTAAGGAAAAGAAAGTCCGTGAACGGGACTTTGTGATAAGGAAGGTTTCGCCACCAATATCTGTTTGATATTAGACTATTTTGACTCAAAATAATTTTTTTCCTCGGCTGCAGATCTACAAGCTTCTCTATGTTCTGTTTTTATTTACGATAAATCCGGACAGAAGTGGCCGTGCATTTAGCCGTCGAAAGTAATTCCCTGTATGTTACCAGAAAAAGGTGCCTAGATGGATACAAAGGTATTGAATGCCTGAAGCGGGGAAATTTTTAGCCACTGATGTCCACAAAATCGATTTGGTTTTGACTTCCGTGAATCTCTACCCACAGCAATTTGTCACGCAATATATGACGCAACCCACTCTTACTTGAGGAGGAAACTTGTTTTAAGGTACATCAATAATAAGGATTGACGAGATACTTTACAGGGTAACAGCAGCACTAATATGGGTGACGAGTCAAATGAGCGTCGGTGTACAGGGCCTTGCGCTCGTCAATGATAGTTGATTGGTCAAAATTCCATACAGGATGTCCCAAAAAGATGTACAGTAGACTCCAAAGATCATGCAACATTTCGAGGTTTGCGAAAGACTGATACTCTTGTGCTAGTCGGCAATGACTCAAGTTGTGATACTGATTATCGTGTAGTATATTCTGAAGTCATTTCAGTCAT